TCCCATCCTCTTCCTCACCTCTGCAGACTCCTGTGCTATCCATGTAGAAGCGGGCTTGGCAGCGAGGGAGGCACAGGCCGGGCACGGCTCCTTCCGCAGGCTGGCGAGGCTGCAGCACGTCCTCCGGCGCCCTGCACTGCCCGCACTGAGAGGGCCCTGGGCCAAGGCAGGTGCGGCAGGAGGGGTGGCAACCTGGGCACAGGTCAAGAGAGCCGTCAGAGCCACACCTCTGAGGACAGCTTCCTCAGAGAGATGGGCAACAACCTGGGTGTCTGGTCATACACGTGAGAAAGGTGAGAAGACTCGGGTTCTGCCCCTCCTGTTCATTGCTCCTTCCAGTTTTGTGTTGCTGCAGAGAGTCTGATGCCCAAAGAGCTGGCACAGAGCACACACTTGGCAGGAACTCACAAGCTAAGACATCTCTTCCATAAACAGGTGGGGTATTTTCTATAATGGCACAGGGATTTTATAGAAAAATACTTTGACACATGCCCCCTGCCCCCCACACCAAATAACAGCTCTTTTCTTTAATAAAGCTGATGGACAAGTAACATTGGGAAAAAAACTGCAGTGCTGTGCCACAGGCAGTCAATTTGCCTTTAATTTCTGGAACCACAATGGTGAACACAATCTCACTAGGAGAGACAGCAAGAAACGACAGTCTGAAGGGTTCACAGGAAGCATAAACTCATCTTCTGAACTTTCAGGATTTCCATTGCTGCAAAAATTACCTCAGTCTCAGTAAACTTAGCTGTGTATAGAATTTAATCCACCTCTTGTGTCAGGAAAAACTTGGAAGCAATGTACGTTTATTTCAACAGCTGAGAGGGGAAAAAAAGGGTCCCCCAGATCACTAAATCCTGAGGGTGTGAACGCAGAAATTATTTGAGAAAATGTGCTTTTTCTCAAAGCAGAAAACAATCATCAGGCAAACACAGGAACTGCTCACTGACCAGTTCAGCATGGGAAAAAGGGTCAGCACCAGAGCTGGGTCACTCCGAGCACAGCCCAACAAAAGCCAATCCAGACAGACAAGTTCACAGCAGCAGAGGAACTTGGGACTCCAAGTACACAGCTTACCCTTGCAGACATTGTGATCCTGGTAAAATCCCTCTCCGCAGTCCCGCAGGCACTGGCCCCGGCGCAAGGCCAGAGGGAAGGAACAGGAGGTGCAGTGAGTGGGCAGCGGTCCCTCACACGTGGAGCACGACTCGTGACAAGCTGATAAAGAAACAGAGCACACATACAACAGAAATACCCCATTTTTTTCTCCTTGCCAGTGGTGGTGCTGACTACAGCCCCCTCCAGCCAATGATGAAAACTCCCAGCTAGCATGATACTCGTCTGGGTGAACTAACGAGAGCAGAAGTGCATGTGTATGAGTAACTACTAACAGTCATAACTCTCACACCGAGTTTTGAATACACCACTCGAGGTGTCTTAACATGCTTGGCATGGCAAAGAGGTTATTTAAAACAATTTATCACAAGCAAACCAAATAAAGCAAAAAAACCAAATTCCTTGTTCCCACTCACACTTCTGTGCTCTTCCCATTCCCTCCCCACAGGCAGGCACCTGGGGAACAGACAACAGCATGTGTAAGGTGCCTCGAGGGCCTTAGGAAAGGTCCTGTAAACAGACCTCTTACCTCTGCATCTTCCATGGCTGCTTGGGAAATACCCGTCTGGGCACTCTGAAACGCACTTCCCGTCGTGTAACAGCTTCTCTGGAGCACAGCTCAGGCACCTGGGTCGGTCTGAGTAGCACGTCTCACAGAACTGGCCACAAGCTGCCAAAAAGGACAGCTCATCAATGAAACGCGCTCCGTAAGCAAAGAACAACAGAGCCATCAGCCTGGCCACCCAGATGAGATGACATAAGCCAAACCACGCTTGTCTGAGAGCACGATGGAACCCTGGCTCTCCAAGAGCACGATGAAACGCTGGCTCTCCTAAGTCAGCAGCACTACTGCTCTGGGTATGCAGAAGGGCCAAGCATTTTACTTAACCAATTTTTGTTTCTTTTCACCCTTTGAAACAGCTTACAGCTCTCCAGTGGGCTATCAAAAGGCGTGGTTTTGGTAGAAGAGGCAAGGCCTGAATCCTGGAGGCTGTGAGGAACAGCTAGGCAGTTTTGAGAAATCACTGGCAATAAAAATCAAAATTACAGCCAAGCTGCATCCGAGTGAAATTTCCTTTTGAGCTAAAAGGATTTTCAGCTACAGATGTAAGATTTCAAAGCCTGCACACTCCAAAACACAGGTGAGTAACATTTATTGGTATAGACACCAACCAAAGGGAAAGGGAACCTGGTCAGAGTGTAATTCATCCAGAAGTGGCCAGAATAGCAACAGTTTTGTCAACCTGCTCCAGTTTTTAAGGCCTCTCTTGCGCGCTGTGGCTCAGACAGACCTGCGTGAAGACAGCCAACCACTGAGGCCTTGCTACTGACTATGCTGGACGGTCCCTCAAAGCAGCTGGAGGTGGCTGCCAGCAGAAAAACAAGACTTGACCTGAATGGTTGTGGCAAATTTTACATTATTTATTTATTTCAGATTTTTTTTCCCACTTGGTGATCTGTTTAACTTAGGTCTTTTAATTTTCTCCAGCCATCTCTTCCTCTTTTCTCAGCAAACCTTCCCAGCTCCCAGGTCTCACCTGTTGTGCAGGTTATTAGTTATTGGGATGCTGAATTATAATAGAATTCACAGAAACCTGCTGGCAAAGGGCATTTTTCTTTCTGCAGACAAATGGATTTGTCAAGCCCTCAGAAACAACTCAGTTAGGCTTTCAAGCTGTTCAGTGACGGAAAAAGACCTTAAACCTTTCAATATCTGATTGGCTTGAATGAATTAATAATCTTAACAAACAGCAGCTTCCTCATCCGATATTTATGCACAAGGTGCATCTGGCTTCTTAGACATCAATAAAATCACAGCTGCTGCACAGCTAAATGAAATATTGATTCCTTTTCTGCAGAGCATTTCTGGAACCTCTTGCAATTGGAGAAGAAAACAGGTATTTACCGCTGCAGACTCCATCCTCTGTATAAAATCCCTGGCCACAGCTGGCCACGCAGAGCCCTGCTTTTAGCACACGTGACATGTCTTTGCAGGACAGACAGTTGTTCTCAGCAGCACCCCAGCATGAGGAGCAGGACTCGTGACAAGCTGCAGGAAAGAAAGGTGCAGGATTAACAGACAATCCATTTCCTGTAATCTCTGTAAAATGAGGACTTTGCAGTAATTAACTATTTTTTTTTCTCAGTAATTCACTTTTTTTGCTATTTTGTTCCTTAAATTCACAAGCCTTCACTGCTTCTGAAAAGGAAAAGGAAAAACCCTACTGCTCTCCCTACGTTAGTATCTTCCCTCTAAGGCACCTCAGGGGTATGATCTCCAGCTTCATTCTGTACGTGCAGTGTGACACGCAGTACACAGCGGAGCAGCTTCTGCAGCTGCAATCAGACTAGGAGCAATGTGGGTAACCCTGTTAAGCCCTCTTCATCCTGGTGCTGGGGGCTGTATGAGCACAAAGGGAAGGAAACAAGAGGAGATCCCAACACATGCCACTCAAAACCAGACCTGAACCAGACCCTTGCAGAGATTACTGACACTAACCCAGCTCCCTGCACAAACACAGACTTAAACTGCAATGCTGCGACTGAGATCCTGCAAAATTAAAACCAAGACAGCCTGCTTGTAGAAACAACTCCTCCACTCCCCTGTTCTCTGCTGCCAAAAGAAACTCACCACAAATGTTACTCCAAACCCAGCCACCAAGAAAGGGATTGAGACAAGAAGGGAGGGTGTTTTGGTCTAGCTGGGCTAAGAGCACTCCCAGTGCCACACGTCTAGCGGGAAACCTGCCACGTCCAGACTTGAGCCAGGTAATGACACAAACCAGCACAGTCTGCAGGCTGGAAGAGTTGAAGATCTTAATTCACCCCCTGCCTCCAGTTCCCAGCTGGCTCTCACTGGCCTTTGGCAAAGACCTTGCTGATCCATTCCTGGGTACCGCGGCAGCTTTCGAGCCTGTCAGGGAGGCAGCTGTTGGATTAAGATTGCACGTTGTCCTAGGTGGGGATGACTTCTGTAGTATCTCAGCTAGGGAAAAGCTGCAGTGAGAGAAGTAAAGATGAAGTACAACCTACCAAAGACCATCAGACCTTCTGAGAAGTTGCAGTGAATTTGGCAAACTGATACAAAACAGATCCTCTGGACTCCAAGCTACTAGACAAAGATCAGGCTCAAATGGCTTCTTTGAGACAGAAAGGGAGAGACAAGGAGAGGACCTAAGCAGCAGAGTTGGGGAGAAAGGAAGGGAAGAAAAAAGAATGAAACCTGATTGTCAGCACGACAGCCACGTTTAACATTTGGGAGCAGCGAAAACAACTCAAAGAACAGGACTGGTAACCATTTCCTCAGGTGGGCCAACAAAACCCATGCTTGCAGCAAGAGACTGGGCTGCGATGCGCTGCTTCCATGGCTAGCTCTGACTTGCAAGGCCCCTCTGGGAACCGGCTCTGCGGCCTCCCCTGACACAGGCACTGCTGTATGCGAGGTGGCCAGCGCCTCCAGGAGCTCTCAGCTGCCAGTCTCCAGGTGACAAACAGGCACAGCCTGATTCATGCTCCTACAGATACAATCCTTCACTTCTCCTGCTTGCAGCGACAGGCACCAGGCCATTTATTTTCACACGTCTTGAGGAGTTTTTTGTCACAAGTTCAGCAGCTCCTAAATCACAGCCAATATCTGTGCCCTGTCTGCCATCAGACAGGACTGCAGCTGGAGTCGTAAGCAGCGGACCCCCCAGACTGTAGGAGCTGGGTTCATGCAGCTGGAACATCAGCCCCAGCCCATGCCTGCCCTGTGTTTATGCACACTCACGCACACCCAGCCCGCAGAAGCCTTGGCTCTTTCAGTGCTGGATCACTGCCAGACTCCACAGCTGCTCCTTGCCCAAACAGCCACTCACCAACTCCACTGAAAAAGGAGGGGAAAAAATGGAAGCATTCCATGAGCCACTGTCAGCTACAACACCTTTGCCTACAGCAACTAAATGGCTGTGTGAAAATAAACCTACAGAAAAGACTGCACCACCAGGAAAATTTTCACCCTTCCCGGCTGTTCTCAGTTCAGATTTGTGGGGGTCATTCTGCCTTGCCTCCTCCCTTCAGTGTGGACACTGGACTTATGTGCAAGACCCTGCAGCTTAGCCAGACACTGCTGCTGAAGAGAAGATGCTGAAAGGAACATAGCTGACCTTCCAGTTGCAATATGCTGTGCAATTACTCTGCCTCAGCTGACACGATGCTATTCATTAAGCTGCAGTAACACATCTTTCCAGAAAATCAATGTTAAACTTCCAGGGTCTTGCTTCTTGGTTAAAGCCAGAACACTCCAGTGGTTCTTGAGCCAACAGATCTTTTCCCCTGCTCTGTGTACTCAGGAGCTGCAGGGGTGTCATGCAGGAGTCACACAGAAGTGACACAAGCCCAGGCTTTTAGAAAATGAGAGGTGCTGCAAAGGATGTTTCTGTTCTTTCATGATCAACCAGAAGTCAGAGAATCAACAAAAGAGCCACTGGCTAAACTGTCTCTTACCTGCATGGGTGCAGGAGGGTTTCCTATGTTAGCAGGACAGCTAACACCAACGGCATCCCAGCAAGAGCACGGGAGGAAGTCACTGCTTGGCTTTGGGAAAGCACAGAGAGGTCCCACTGCTCCGGGCCAGGTGGTACCATTAACCACCTCTAACCTGTCCTGCTCAAGGTGAGCTGGGCAAGCTCAACCGAGTCATGTTCAGTCATTTATTCTCAAGGGAAGCCTCCAGAGCCAGGATGCAGCAGAGAAAAAGAAAAACAGGTGGTGAATTGAAACCCAAGTGCTTTGTTCCAGAGTGAGCTGGGTCTGTTAGCGTCAAGTTACACATTTCAGCCGGTGAGTTTTGGGAGATCAAAGCAGAAACACTGAGTTCTGCCTAGGCTGTTGAATAATCTTGAAAACATAAATAATTAAGTTAGAAAAATGAAGTGAGAGCAATGAACACTCCAAGTCCTGTGAGCACTTCTGTTCCACCAGGCAGACATCTTTTACTTTTCTTCCTTTTGTCTTTGGTGGGGGTTTCTTAACTATTTCCACAGCCTATTTCTGACAAGGAAGACTTCATCTCCTCACTCTGCTCTAGGCCTGACACCAGCTGATCCCTGATCTTTAAATAACTCAACCTATCACCTTTTATTCTCAACTTCACTTTCTCTTAATGGTTTTAATACCTTACAGAAGCAGGTGGAGGGACAGGGGCACGAAACAATCCTGGTGTAAGATTAAAAGAGGGCAGACAAAGAACTGTATTCTGAAATTCAAAGTAGATTCAATCAGACCAGATGTTATAAAACATGAACAAAAGGAAAGACTGTTTTGTTACAACGCAAGACAACCGTGTTTCAACAATAAGATGGAGCAAGCAACCTGGCCTTACAGGTCTATTTCATCTCCAGAGCAAATTCCACAAGAGAGAGTTTACTGGAACTATAGCAATTAGCACAGTCTAGTTCATCCTTTTTGTGATTTCCTAATGTGCTTATTGCAGATGTTAAAACCATTATGAGAAAAATAAATCTGAACAGTCTAAGGCTTGTCTGGACAATCAGCTTAGTGATTCGTAAAAATAAAGAGGATCCAAAGAAAGAGTGAATGGCAACGAATTACAGAGCGTATCTGAAATTTCAGACCTTCTCCACTGGTTTGACTTGATGCAGAAAATGCAGCCAGGCAGAACTAAAGCAAATTGGTTTAATTCCCTCGAGGAAACAGGAACACATTTTCCCAGCAACTTTCAGCTACAAGCATGCGTGACTGAAAATTTGGATGGGATGTACAATCAGTAATCTACAAACCAGTAATAAAATGAAACATTAGCCTTTCCCTATAGCTGCAGCAGTACATGGGCACTGCCAATTAAAGCACTAGGAGCAGGTGGAAAGGAAATGATAAAATAAAACCAAATGAAGTAGAATATTATTTGATACTTAAGTCTATAAATTCTTTTGGACTGGGTCTCTCCTCTGTTTATACATACGCAATGGGGCCCTAGTCTATAGTCACTGCTGGAGGGCAGAGGTTTGCCAGACTTTCAAAACTTGAAACAAATGGTCAGCTCTTCAAGGAAAACCACTTCAGAAAAGTTTGCTGGACTCAGAATCTAAAGTGCTTTCTCCTGAAATCTGCCAAAAGCCCTAACCCTGTTTTTTTTAGGAGGTCTAGCTACCAAAAAATTAAAGCTATGGCTCCAGAAGTGAAGCACGTGCTCCACCCCTCAGCTGAACCAAGAGCTGCAGAAATAATTAGAAGCCTTCTAAAAAGGCCAACATCAAGAGGAGAAAAGTGTTAACTTTAGAGAAAACAATTAAACTGTCATGATGAAAAAGCAGCTGCCTTACAGTTTGGGAAAAGTACAAATACTTCAAAGGAACAGGGGAAGCTCACACAAGCAGCACCGTGCTTCCATCAAAGAGAAAACTGCAGCTTCCTAATCTTACTCTTAGTCTTTCCAACTGCTAAGATACAGGGTTTAGACACATCTCAGTGTTCTACAGAATTACTGATTTACTTTGTAAATATGCTTCAATGAAAACAGTTAATCCAATCCACTTTCAGGAAGAGTGCCTCATACGAAACAAATGAATGGCAAAACAAAGCAAAACAGATTTCCAGAAAGTATTTTCAGTGAGCTTTTCTGAGTCCTGTCAATCCCCCACCCCTCCAAGTGATTTTCTACACACCTCAAAGTGCTCTGCCCTGAAAGGTCTGGCGCTATCAGCTGCAGTTAGTCTGCACTGAACTCAAAGAAAACTCCCCCATCAGATTGCCAGGCATGGCTCAGGGTGTTACATCCTTAGTGAAATTAGTGCATACGTCCTGCTCTGTACCCTGAACGCTACAGAAACCAGGGTCACCTTTCCAAAAGAGAATTCTGAACTGAAAGAGGACAGTGGTGAAAAACCTCAGTGTTCAAAAGCAGAGAGTTTCAGACCAACAGAACTGATCCCCTGGGAAATTTTAATGAGTATTTCCACAAGCAGTAATCAATTTTACCATGTATGGCTTAGTTCCTCTGTTCACTCCTTCCTTTACTCGAGGGTGAACATTAACACCTATGTCAACAGCAGATCCCGCAACAGAGAGTGCAGGTAACAGCTCGGGCACAGCTTTCCTCAGCTGGTTTGCTGTCACAAAGTACTGCAATCTCCCTGGCTTTGAGGTACCTGTGCAGAGGAGCTGATCCTGAAAGTATCCCTTCCCACACGAAGTCACACACTGCCCGTTCTTCATTAGCAGGGATGCCTGGCACGAGGAACACTCAAATCCATTGGTACAGGCTGAGCACGTTTCATTGCAGGCTTCCAAGAGAAGGAACAGAGAAGGAAGATGTATTAATCCCAAACATCTTGATGCAGCACTTCTCCCACCCTCTGATAAAAGGAGACAATTTTGCCTTGTTTTGGCAAAAGAGTTTGAGAATTTGCATATTTCAGGGGCGTCCACCTGAAACACCTCCTGAAGTCTTGAGCCCATGGTCACTACTCAGTACGTGCCTCAATGCTTTTCCAAAGAAAGCCAGGCAATCTCTTTATAATAAGCCTGTGGGATGCTACAAACAAAAGCAGAGCAAGCCACACAGAAGAGAGCCATCTGACAGGGCAGAACCCCTTGCAGAAATTACCTAAGCAAGTCCCCCCATCCTGGTAGAAGCCAGACTCGCAGGTCTCCACACAGCGCCCATCCTGCAGCTGCCTCCTCGTGTCTCGGCAGGCGGTACAGTGATCAAAGGCCCGAGAGCAGGTCAAACAGTCTGGGTGGCACTCAACTGGCACAAAGACAAGACACAAAGGTACAAACCATCAGCAGTGTTTGCAATCAGGAAGGCACAAAACAATGCAGGCTCCAAAAATCAAAGGGCAATTCGTCCTTGTTTCTGTTGGTGGCTCGAGGTGTGTTCGTTTTGGAGTGGTTTATTTTCCAAAACTGCATGAAAAGGGCTAAGTATTACACTGCTGTGTTCTGCTATGTCAGAATTTGCTACACAGACTCAGATTTTCTAGACTATTGATAAAAAGGACACTCAGCATCCACATGGTTTCTCAGCAGTAAAAATCCTAAGTCATCAGGAATTAATGGTCCAAAACAACCTGAATTTGAGTTTCCTTCAGTCAAACCCTGCAATAAGTCAAGACATGTGCATGCCAGGTCAGAGTACAGGTGGTCAGAGTGCAGCACTCCCCCTCCAGTCACAAGCTGTATGTCACAGCACCGCAGGAAGCATTTCCTGACCACAGGGATCTCCTCGAATGGCATGGCTGCTCTCTCTGCAGAGGCCGAGAAGGATGACCTTCGCTTTACTACTGAGCTGCGCTTGCTTGCTGGAAGAAAAACTGACTGTTCCTTCCTGACAAGTCAGCAAAAAGGATCCCAGTGCTGAAAACTCTCCTTCACTTACAGTATATAACCTGCAGGTCTCCAGGGAGATGCACCTAAGGAAAGCATCAGGAATCACGAGCTATGGAAGAAATGTGGTTGAAAATAACAGTGAATCCACAGTGATAAACGGGAGGAATGAACAGGAGACTCCGTCTCTTTACATTTCTTCCCAATAACTTTCCAAAGGTATATGCAGCCTCGTCCTTCCAGTCTGACAATGAACTGCCAACTAGGAGATGGGACAGAAGGGACCATTTTTCTGTCGGTACCAAGAAACTCCCTCTGCTCCAAGCTGAAGTCCTCAGTGAGAGGGTGTGTTTGCTGGGTTTGACATAAATACAGCTCTGCCTGGGGCTACGTGCTTCACACCACCTGAGAAGGAATGGGTGCTCTCTGCCTGCTTCCCCCAACACCTCTGGGAGCAGCAGCAATAAATCGCTACTGGTTTTAACAAAGCAGCAGGCTTCCCCCAACACCTCTGGGAGCAGCAGCAATAAATCGCTACTGGCTTTAACGAGGCACCCCATGTGTTAGGGAGCGATGCTCTGGGCACAGAGACTGGACTGCTGCAGGCTGGATTTCGCTATTGCTTTCCTGTCCTCTCCAATGCAAAGCAGAAAAAGACAGGCAAAAGGTAAAACAGCAGGCTTTGGTCTAGGAAACTTCCATGTACCTTTTAGGACACAAAACCACAAGTTTGGCTCTGTATGTCCCATACCACCATTATGGAAACTAACAAAGAGGCCAGATTTCCAAGGGTAACTAGTACACAGTGGCACTTCTTGCTAAGAAGGAGAACAGATGTGTGCTGAGAGCAGTTTACACTCTGTCCCCTCCTTAGGAGCCTGTGCAGATGCTGTTCCCTTTTGAAAATCCAGGACAATTTTATCTGAACTGTTCAAAACCCATTTTCCTCACTTTACAATTTGTGGTGCTTTGCATTTTTATTCGCAGTAAATAACAAGCTTTAAAACTTTAAGGTGGCAAACGTGCCAAGGCACTCCTGCAAATGACAGCGTAATTAAACTGTGAAGCTATTTGCTTTTTACTGAGATAAAACATTAACTGGAGGACTCTGAGAAAACCAAAGTTATAGGAATGCAACAAGAAGAGCTACCAACGTGAGAAATTATCAAACCGCAGCTAAAGCCTACCAACTATGAAATGTAAATCAAGGAGAATGGCAATGTCCTGGAGAAAAATGAATTTATATGCAAAATCAGCACATAAGCTAAGGCTATCCTAATCTTTCCAAACAATTATTAACTGGCAGCCATTCAGCCCCAGATGACCTTGTGGCATAAAAGTGTAAGCAGGTTCTTTCTTCCTTCCACTCCCAAGAAATAATCCAGAGCCCATAAACTCCAAAACCCATGTGAGGATTCAGAAAGGAGCAGTCCCCTGCCTTATAAAAGTGATGTTGGGGAAAAAAAAGAAAAAGAGAGAAGGAGAGAAGGAGAGAGAGAGAAGGAGAGAAGGAGAGAGAGAGAAGGAGAGAAGGAGAGAGAGGACAGAGAGAAGGAGAAGGAGAAGGAGAAGGAGAAGGAGAAGGAGAAGGAGAAGGAGAAGGAGAAGGAGAAGGAGAAGGAGAAGGAGAAGTAGAAGGAGAAGGAGAAAGAGAAACAGAGAAAGAGAAAGAGAAAGAGAAAGAGAAAGAGAAAGAGAAAGAGAAAGAGAAAGAGAAAGAGAAAGAGAAAACATTTCCAAAACACCAACCCTAAGGAGAAACTCTTTTGCCAAAAGAAAGATATCATTTAATCCAGAGGAAGTCAGTGGAGTTTAGGGCTCCATCCTTTCTAAGGTTGAGGGCTCCTTATAATAAAATTCTATGGAAACCAGTTAATCAGCAACTGAAAACCAAAGAGAAGTTAAAATTGACCCGGGGCTGGTACCTGGCTCGCAGCGTGGGCAGCAGTCGCCCTCGGCCTCAACAGCCAGGCTGGCGGGCGGGCAGGGCGGGCAGGAGCGCTGGAAGCAGGTCACCTCGGCGTCCCGGCACTCACAGGCTCTGCAGGGCCCTTCTTCCCAGCTCTGGCCGCTCTGCAGAGGGAACACGGCACAGCCAGGGTCAGCAGCCAAGGCCCCTCTGCAGGGCTAGCAGTGAACTGGACATTTCTGGGACTGCTTCAGCACTCAGGCCTGCTGATGTGGGACCGCGTGCCTCGGCGCCATTCACCCGCTTGCCCTCCTTGCCTTTGCAGAGTAGGGCAGGCTGCAGAGAGCCTGCTGAGATGAGTGCTTGGCCCGTGAACACCTGAACACCTTCCCTCTCTCAGGACCCCCTCCAAAGCAGGGTCCTCCTTCAGTTAGCAGCCAGTCCCTTCTTCTTCCTCACCTCCCTTTGTTTTCTCTGACTCAAAGCATTTTCTCCTGTCTCCAAATTTTGCTGCCTCGCTTCTCCGCTTCCTTTTCACAGCCCAGTACCAAGTGCTTGCATCTGCTCTGTATCTTAACAGAGAGACACCCATCATCCGTCCTCCGTCTGAACCCGTGTCTTTGCATAATGACCTTTTGGTCACACTTTAAGCCTCTTTCTAACCTTCACAGCACCTTGTTTCCTCTCCTCCTCTCTCCTGTTGCCTTGTTTTCCACCCCCTAGGACTGGCCCAAACACCACAGAGATGAAGAGGTACCACCGGCCTTCTTCAAAACTACCCATCGCGCCTGACACTTGCCTACTTAAACCAGCCAAGGGCAGGAAAACCTTGTGCACCCACTCACACCTTGGTATGTTTTGGTATGTTTTACCTCACTTGGGTCAGAGAGAGACATCTGAGGAAGGAAAGGGAAGTATTAGCATTAAAAAAACCCCAAAAACCAAACAACCAAACAGTATTAAACTTCCCATTTCTCACATCTGCTGGCAAACAGCAGCGATTAGCTCAAGTCCTCATCTGTCAGCGCAATGAAAAGTCCTTTACTGGTCTATTTAAACCAAGATACTTACCCTCTCCTTTCTATTTACCTTCAGAAGGAAAGTTCCTGCAAAATATTCATAAAATAATGGACTTCTGCTGCAGTAAAATTATAGTCAGTGAGATAAATAGGCAGAAAGCTACACATGCCCCAGCTCTGTAGCCTCTACTTGATAGGATTCAAGTCAGGCATCTTGTAACTGCACGAGATGTGCAGGAAACCTATGAGTATGTGTATTAAATATTAAAGGGAAATGATTGATTATACAGCACAAAGAAAAGCAAGGCAAACCTAAACTCTGCAGCAGATATACACATTGTAAACAAGTGTGTTCTGTAAATTGTAAAAGCAATCTGCAGACAGTATTAATGGATTGTTTTTCTGCTACACTTGCAAATAATACCCTTCTCGGAACTGGAGAAGGAGAGCAAATTCCTCCAAACCTTTACCAGCAGTACTCACTGTTACGTGATCCAAAGTATCAGGATACTCACAGCTTTGGTATGTTCTTTGTAAACACAGTCACCATTAGCTGAGATACATTCAGGACAGCACTTCCCATCTAAGTGAATTAATTCTTCACTCTGTGAGGAGAAAGGTTGCAGCAGAATCAAACAGAATCAACACCACCAAAACCGCTGTGGAATGCAGAGGCAGAACAGCTCTTGCCCTGGAATGCAATCTTCAATATCTAATTTCACCTTATCTTCTCTCTACTCTACCTCACCTCTGGAGGGACAGTTTGAAAAATATGCCTAGTGAATGCAGCAGCTGCAGAAAACACCTCAGCAAAGGCCAGGGAATTCAGAGATAAGGCCGTTACTTCGCCCCTAAATCCCGCAGAGAAAGACG